ATCACTTAAGCCCAAGAGTTTAAGGTTAATGTGAGCTGTGACACCATGGCACTCTACCGAGGGTGACATAGTAAGACTCTGTCTCAAAGAAAAATAAAAGTAAAAGAAACAGAAAATAAACAGGACAGGTTTGACTGTAAAAAAAAATCAGAAATTTATTTTTGTTAATAAAATCTTAACATCAAATAATATACTGAAAAAAATAGAATGCAAATATATACTAGGTAAATGATTCCTTTTGTGCGAGGTGTACGTAAAAACGAATATCAAGACAAACAAGCAAAGGAGAAAGGCAGTTTCCGGAAGAGGACTGATAAAGAGATATACTTTTTGCTTATCTAATTTAACGGAAAAGCAGGCAAGCATCTTATGAAACAGTCTACACTCAGTGCTGGTGAGTATGTAAACTAGTACACAGTCTTTGGGATTTGATAAGTCATAAAAATTGTATTAGTCCTCCATCTGGTGATTCTGAGAACTTAGCTTAAATAAATTATGCAAAAGAGAAAAAATTGTGTATAGAAATATATCTGCTTTGGCGCTTTTTTTTCCCTAACAGCGAAAAGTACACACACTTTTAAATACCAACAAGAGGTTAATTTCACTATGGTAAATTTACTCGATGGAAAATTTTTCTGTCTTACTGTTAGGTTTATGCTGACTGTGTTAAGTAAAAAACCCACAAACTATAGAACTATATATTCAGACTGTGGCTGAAAAAGAAAAAAGAAAAACCCCACGCACAGAGATAAAAAACCTAGAAAAAATTTCCATATACCAAACAGGGGTTGCGTTCTAGCAGTTAGGTGGTGAGTGATGTGTAAATCTTTTTTCTTTATATCTCTTTTTTGATGTATGTTTCTGATTAATTCATGACAATAATAAAACAACTTAAGATCTTTTTTTAAAGGTTATATTAAATGCTGTAGGCGGGGAAAGGAGACCAATAAGAATAGCTTTTGATTTTCCCTTACATATCAGAGAAGGAAAGTGTGGTCTAGGTGTGTGTTTGAGGCGCCGCAGGGTATGAGGTTTACACAAAATTAAAAGAAATGCATTCAACTAACCAAAGCCCAGCTGAGGAGGCAGAACCTTGCCAGAACAGAGATGAGCATTGCAAACCGTAGCATCTGAGACCCTGGGAAGCATGGAGTGACAGAAGTTGAATCAAGACGGAAAGCAGATTCCACCAGAAAACAATAACCCGAACTCGATTCGTGATTTTTAAAAATTAATAATAAAAAGAAATAAAAGTTCCATCATCCAGCCTCACATCATAAAAACGAGTGGTAACGTGCGGGGTAAAGAATCATAAAAGGGACTCAGATGCCAG